ACAAATTTGAATGTTCTTAAGGAGTACATATAAAAATTTTATTATATACCTGCTTTAGTAAAGTGGTATAAATTTGGGACTATGAGGCTAGTGGTCGTGAGTTCAATACCTGCTGGTTGATAGTTAATCTACTGATGAGTTATAGTAGGAGACTGGCACTAAGTAGGATTTATTTTATTCAAATTTATTAAATTATTTATTATTTTATTTTATTTTACTTTATTATTTTTACTTCAATACACTTTAAATATATATATTACTAGCTTAAAAACTCATGCTCCGCGCGAGGTACAATCCTTATAATTTATAAATACTGTATTAGAATTTACTTAAATAAATAATATATAAAATTTGTTTAGAATTAGAACACTTGAAGAACAGTTAATCCAGTAATATAGAGATATTTTTTGGTTAAAAATTGTACTTAAAATAGCCCAACTTTAACTTTAGTTTAGATAGATCGTTATATAAAAATTATAGAGTTAATTTTTTTCTAACCATTTAACAAATCGTCTTTATATTTACAAATTGTTTAGGTAGATACCTATTTGACTTTACAATTATTTGATTTAGTTTTTAAGATTAATAAAATATCTTTATACTTTTTGTTCAATTAATAAATCGTCCTTATATTTACTGATCAAATCAAAGCAAATTATTTAAAGGATATGATATAATAAGTATTTACATGCTGATTTTAATTTTGCATATTAATAAATAATCTTTATACTTACGATATAGCACGATTATTGAGAATTAAAGTGATTATTTGATCGAAAATTGTAAGTTTGATAATAAATTGCTTATGAATTGTTTCTGAAATTTACTTATAAATTTTTATACATAACGTACCTGATCATAATCTGATGAATATAAATTTTTATATATATCATATATGTACTAATTACTTACAAATTTTAGTTATTCATATATGATTGTAACATGATTACTTATAAATTTTTGTAAACATATTACTCATGTATGTATCTAATTGTAACTTAATATAACTTGATCACTTTGTTATCAATAATCGCCATGTTTCAATTTGATATTTTCACTTATATGAAATGTTACAAAATCATATTCACATTTTAGACCAACCAAAAAACAGTTAAAATTACAAATTCAAACTTAAATCATAGAAAGAAAATTATAGAGAGAGAAAAGTGGAGATACGAAGAGGAAATGTTTAGAAAAAGAAAAGAAAAAGGGAAAAAAAAAAAAAAATAAAGATATGTTATTTATTTTGACAGAAAGGTATAAAGAAGCAGTGTAGTTTAGATTAAAAAATAATAGAGAAAAATGTGATATTGTAGATAGTGAAAATAAAAAGTTGAAGAGAGATTTGATGGAAAAAGAGCTTATGAATACAGAATTGCTTGAGAAGACAAATAAGCTGAAGAGAAATATGATAGATGTTTTGGAAGAGCAGATAGAGGAAATGCTAATAGATATTGATGAAGAGAAAGTAGAATTAAAAAGTGATTTGGAGTTAGCGAGTAGAGAGATTAAAAGATTGGAGCAAGAGAATGAGAAATTAAAGAAAAGATGGGATGAATAGTTTGGTGAAGAAAATATAGAGAAAGATAAAAAAGAAGATGAGTGAGATAAGAAGATTAGAGAGTTAGAGAAGAAAGTTAAGGAGTATAAAAATTTTTTAGAAGTGAAAGAAGTAGATGTAGTTTATGAGATGATGATGGGTTATAAAAATAGTGTAGAGAAAAAGAAGAATCAATTAGATCATGTACAAAAGAAATTTGATGAGTATAAAGTTTATCAAGAAAGAGAGAAGAAGAAATTAAGGGAAAGAATAGTGAAGTTAAATGATTTAATATAGTTAAGTAGAGTTACCCAAATAGGCTAATATTTTAAAGAAAGGATTTTAGATGAGATAAGTAGTTTTTTAAGGAATTTGTTATATTTAAGAATAATAGATAAAGAGTCAGTATAAATTTGAATTAGGCTATTACATGAACAAGTACTAATAGCTAATAGAATTAAAACTAGTTCAGCTTTGTAGAAAGATAGCTAAAGTTAGATTTGTGCAGAAAATTTGTGTAGGATTTGGTTATCACTAACTTGAACTCACCCAATACCCATAGAGTATTGGTTAGTATAAATGTTAATAACAGATCTATCTGTATAAAAAACAAATTGTTATTAGTTGTAATTTTTTTAGTAAATAGATTCAAGTTGTTGAGTAATTTCACTAGAATTAAAAATCATTGAAATTGAAGAAGAGGTTATTTATAAAGTTAGAAGTAGAGGAATAGTAGAAAAGTCATGAAGGCAATTAAGTATAAAAGGTCTAGATAATTTGCATTGAGTTTAAGTTTGTTGGGAAGTTTCTGATATGTTTTTCAACCAAGAAATTTTGTTGAAGATGTAGCTGAAACTTCAAAAGTATATGACTTAGTTACTTTTCTCAAGTTTAGGCTACAACCTTGACAAGGAAAATATGTTGGGTTTGAGTATAGATATAAGTTAGAAGAGTTGGAGTTTGGTTGTAGTATCTAATGTGTAATAGATACAGTATTCTTATCAGGAAATAGGTATTAGGCTTTGCCAATAATAACTGTTGATGATGATAACAAGTAGGTTATTAGCTAAGGTTTAGCTCTTATGCTAAAATAGCTAGTTGTATAGGCTAGGGAGTTATTAATTAGTGTCCAAAATTGGTTAGAAATAGCTCTAGTAGAGGTATGTTTCAGAATTATTGTTTCTAGAGTTGTGAACTATTTAGATTTACAGCCTTTAGATAAATAGTTTAGTCTAGGAAAAATATGAGTTCAGTCTAAAAGTGTATAATTGTCAGCAGACATTAATTGTTCAAGAAATAATATTTGCTTTGTTCATAGTTAATGTTTAAAAGAATTATAAAGATTATCATGTTGAAGAATTTTTTCAAGAGGTGTATATGGATCTGAGATAGTAATAGGTTGAGAGTTATTAGTATTTGTTAAAATGGAGATGTTTAGATAATTAAAAAGAAGAATAATTTTAAAATTTGTTGAATATTTATTTATAGCTATCAATTTGTGGTTGTGGATGTTAGAAGATATTTTTAGTAGACTACAAATTATTTTGGAGTTGTTGCAGTCTAATCTGAGTAGAGATACCTAGAGTCTAGTATCGCATAGTCTAATTAATAAATTAGAAATATGATATTGGAGTTGAATTTTCCAAATATTTTTGATACTATAAATGTTGTAATTGAGTAGAGTACTGTTTGGTATTGTTGTAGCAAGATTAAATTTGTGTTTGGCAACTGAGAGGTATGAGCTAAGAATTTTGTTGCATGTTGTTTGAAGAAGGATAATATTATGAATGCAGTATTCAATAATAAGTATAATATCTGTATTAATGATATAACTAACTTGTTTGTCAGTTATATGTTTGGTTTTAAGAGTGTTAGTTAGATGAAATATTTCATTAATAATAAGTTTGGTTTGCTAAATTTGTTTGCTATCCAAAGTAAACTAGGAGCTGAGAAATTTGAATGTTATATTAGGTTGTTGTAGTTGTATAGATAAGTTAATAAAGTTTAGCTCAGATTATTTTTTGGTATTAGTAATAAGAACTGATTTTGAGAGTTGATTTGAATATCGGCCATCTGATAGAATGATGTTTCTATTTATATTATTGATTCTAAGTTTGATTTAAAGTTTGTAATACAAAGTGTGTCATCTATGTAAGCTAGTACAGAAGATGATACTTTGAGCTTTTTGTATTTGTGTATAAGAATAGAGTTCTTACAAGTCACAGATATAGTGTAGCCTTGATAGGAGCTTAAGATTTTGTTAATTAGGAGATCATAATAAATATGTCATAGCAGAAGAGTTAATGTTTCTCCTTGATCAATACTATTATTAATATTATAAGATTTTGTGAGACCTAGATTTGTAATAACTCTGTTTGTGCAGTTTGTTAGTAGATTAGTTATAATATTGCATAGTTGAGAAAGGATTTGGATGTGTTCAAGAGCTAGTTTAAGAAGATCAAGGTTAACTGAGTTATAGGCTTTGCTCATATCTTGAGACAGAAGCCATAGCTCTATTTTGTTATAGTAAGAATCCTTAATAATATTGTTAAGAATATGTATTAGAGTATTTGTACTGTTTCCTAGTAGAGCTATTTAGTTATGTAGGTTAAGAATTTTGTGAGGGTAAAGACTAAGCTAAGTCAAGTAGTTAGGATTTTTGTATAAAGTTTTTTAATATATTCAATAAGACTAATTGGATGTGTATTATTAAGATTACCATCAAAGGTAGGTATTTTTGGAATAGGAAAAATATAACTATCTTTTCATTGTTTAGGAATTGTTTATGTTATTAGACAATAGTTAAGTAGTACTGTAATAGTTTGAATTGTATTCAGATCTAAATATCTAATCATTTCATAGCTAATTCTAGAAGGTCTACAAGCCTTGTTATTAGACAAATTACTTAGAGTTTCTGTAACTTCTTCAATAGTGATTTCTGATAATATAGTGTTATAATATGAATTTTTAGTAGTTAAATTTTAATATTTAAATTCTATTAATTATATTTTATTAGTATAATA